TTAAAAGGTACCCTTTAGACCAAATCGGAGCCCTTACGTAGGACCTCCACAATCAAGTATTATTGGATCATAGTCGGCAAAATCAAACAGTGTTATTGGTCAAATATCATTTTATTTAGTGACCTGGCTTAGCAATTCAACTCCAGTTCGTCCTCAAATCCCACCTTTATCCCTACCCTTGCTTAGGACCAGCCTTTAAAGGTCAGGTTGGCCAAACGTTTGGAAAAGCACAATAAATCATCGACTACTCACTCCTTATTCTCCAGGTACCAGAAGCCTAGATGCCTCTATCGTTTGTGACAAACGGGATACGAATTGAGCCCACTGGATAAAGAGACTTTGCGCGTGGTGATCATCGTGACAGCTTGCCCACTGGTCGTAGCTTACGTCTACTGTTCTTTCATCCACCTCCGTCAGTGTCGTAAACGTGCCTCCCTCTTGCACCCATTCGACTTCGTTATACAATGCTTCGGCTGACCGACTGCGCTCGTTGGCTTTGGTAGTAGCGATCACCTGAACGAAGGAAACCCTGCGCTTCCCGTTCGACACAGTACACGGCAACCTGCGCAAGAGATAGAGGTAGCGCATATGAACTGGACCAGGGATGTTACAGGCCATCACATAAGCGTTCTTCTCGAACTCTTGTAAAAGTTGGGTACTCACGCGATCGCGCTGAAGGCTACTCCACCTGGGAGGTGTACTGATCAGTGGTAGCAGCGCAAGCTCCGTGAACGCTATCGTTTTGTTCGTTTCATCGAATGAGGACGCGAAACGAGTGGTAAATCTTGCATGGCTGACAAGGGACTTGCCCTCTCTTCGAGTCGGTGGAGCGCAATGGACATTCCAACCGAATATCACTCCCACTTGTTTAATATTCGGTGGGCTTGCCCCAAAAGTGCTCAAAGCTTGCTTGATAGAGGAGTCAAACTCCTCCCGTGTGAAAGGATGGAAGAAGAAGGAAGGCCTGCCGTGCTGGAAATTCACACGCCAACCCGAATCTAACGAATGTGGATGTGACTTCCACGGTGACTTCGCACTCGCTTCGTACAGGCTTTCCTTGCTTGAGTCATGGTACTCGGGTTGAGAAACGACGAGGTTTTCCAGAATAAGAGAATGTAGGCGGCTATGTTGCTGGAGTTTTAACCGGAGCTCAACGTTTTCAGCTCGGAAAGCGTCGCTTTCGAGGACGAGTTGGTACATTGAATGGCTCTTTTCGCTGTCATTGGACTTGCGATTCAAGAGCGCTAGATGTTGTCTGTATTGAAGCTCGAGTTGCGCGCGTTCACTCTGCATAGACTGAAGCTCGCTCTTCCTATGAGTTCTCAAACGTGCCATGTGTTCGCGGCGCTTCAGTCGTTTCCAGTCCAGCTTAACTTGCCTGGTCCATTCTTGCACGGTTGAGTCAGCCCAGTCTTGAAGCCCGAGGACCATTATTTCTGCATCAACACTGTGAATGAGTCGCCGCTTATGTGATCTCAAAGAATGAGTCGGTGTGTGTTTTTGGCCCCAAGACAAGGTTTTTGGCCCCAAGACAAACTTCTTGCGCCATCCACCAATGAGAGATCACTACACAATCATATGAAAACTGTTCATTCGCGGCTAAGTTCGGAGTAGATTACGTTGTATTGGCAATGACGAATCGTGTTTCAAGCACGATGCAGTGACAGACCTTCAATAACCAAAGCGTCGACAATGTTATAAGGACACGTGCTTCAACCAGGATCGCAAGCCATTGTGCTATACGGTATTTGCAGTCTACTCTATGGCGATTTTTTTTTTTATTTTTGTTTCGTTTGGATAACAGTCTCCATAGGTAAGACCACTATGGAAGACATCAGCGTAGTCTTATTCGTGTTGAACTCCACTACCAGAGTTGATCCACAGCACTCGACCGACTTCTCAAGCAGCATCACAGCTTCAGGGTAGCTCAAACCAACACTACTGACGGTGTCAGACGGTGTCTTTCCCTGCACTACCCAAAGGAAGTCTGGATGGTTATTGTTCGATTCGTACAACCACTCACCACCGATAATGTTATCGCACTCGTCCAGTTCCAGAATATAGTCATAATCTACCCTGACGGTGAAGTTTTCGATTAGATCTGAAGGCACAACTCCGCCGTCTGAGTACCTCTCGTTGATCCACGACAGGCGTGACTTGATATTCTTGATTCTCTTGAAGTCATGGTTCCACGGGGTTTCTTGGAGCCCATAAAATATCTGACTTGCCTTCTCTGGGGGCATACTTCTTTGTTCGTATACTTTGAAACCGACTACAGGCTGATTCCAGACCTCGGTGTCGGTACCGATGACATTTAAAGGGGGTATTCTATTCAAATAGATTTCCAATTTTTCGGTAAGCTTAGAGATTTTGATTAGTGGCTCAGGTGGATGAGTTCGTTGAGCTCTTGGTGAAGTCGTTTAACTTCCTCCTGTCAGTGAGAACATTTTACAGGGTCAACAAGAGAGCATTGGTGCACACGTCAACTGCGACTTTATCCGTCGCGCTGCGTAGGT